CCTACCTACTATATATATATATATATATATATATATATATATATATATAGATGACACAGTTTCTATGCGGCCAGCCCGCATATTGTAGAAATGTGGGCTTGGCAATAAATATTTTTTTAAATATAATTTGATCTTAATTTTCATAGAATATATAATCTTTAACATGGAGATCATGAATATGAAGAAAAAATTTGAAAATTAGAAATAATAAATATATTAAGAAAACATTTTGACCGTTAGTTACAATTGTTTTTAGAAGAACCATCTATTTGCATCCATCTTTAAGCTGGATGCTTTATACCTCCGTACCACATATTGTAAAAATGCGGTCCACCGCCTAGGCGGTCCGAAAGGCCTGGGCGCATCGCCCAGGCCTAGGCGGCCAATCTGGGCGGTCAATACTTGGGTGGCCGCCTAGGCGGTACGGACCCGCCTAGGCGCCAAAAAAAAGGCGGAAAACACTAGGCACCCCGCCTAACGCCCAGACCTGGGTGACCAAAGGCGTAAAAGCCACTCGGTAGAGGCATTTTGTGTCATTTTTTTTATACTAAGGGGCCAAAAATGTGGGTTTTAGATTCATTTGAAACCTAAAACTCATTAGAGCCCATTTTAGAGAGAGAAAACCACCAAAAAACTAGTTTTTGGTGATTTCTTTAAGATCAAAGGATTTTTCTCAAAGTAATAAAAAATTTACCAAAACACACCCATTGATATTAGATTTGAGTTGTGATGTTTTACAAATCTATTGGAGGGTTTTTTAGAAGATTTTGAATCTTTAGAAGCATCTTTGAAGTGGAAGTTTGAAGATTGGGCAATCAAAGTAAGTGATTTTTTTTATTACGATTTTTTTTATTGCTTGTATAAGTTGTATTATTTTGAGATGTCTTCGGGATCTAATAGGAGTGGTGATCCCAATTGAAAACATGGCTACAACCCAGATTCATAAGATGCAAGTTTTGTGAGAAGGATACAAAAGGGGGCATAAACCAGTTCAAGAAACATCTTTCGGTATCAGGGGGGATGTTGTCGCATGTAAAAAGTCCCCTGATGTTGTTAAAAAGAAAATAACCAATTTTTTTAGCATGGTAAAAATGCAAAAAGATGAAAAAGTTGCCTCCATAAAAGAGATTAGGTCATCGGATCAATTATGATGATGATGATGATAGTGATAAGGATGGGGAGAGATGTCAAGAGGTAGAACAATCCATTATTAGGGAGAAGGGAAAAGGAATTATAATTGCTTATGGTTTTGGGAGTAAGAAGCTCCAAGTTAGAGGCCATATGGATAGTTTTATGCCCTGGCCTGACCCTGAGGTTGCAGGAGAGAAAACAAAGAAGCAAATCACTATCGAAAATAGAATGAAGACGGAAGAGAGAGATAGAGCTGCCTTTTTTTGTTGCTCATGCTTTTATGAGGCGAGCATTCCTTTCAAATCCGATGCTTCCAATGTTCAAGAATTACAGTACAAAAGTACATTTTTCTGAAATTTGTGTGTGGACACCACAAACTTAGTACAATCGCGTTCCTACAGTAGAGTGCTCATACACTGAAATTTTGTAGCATAACACAAACACACACATATTCCAAGGACAAACGTGAGCAAATAATGAGAAATAACACATTTCATAAACTAAACTGCTAGTCAGAATAACACTAGCAAGAATCTGTAGTGCCCTAAAAAACAAGAAGAAGACAAACGATTACACGAAAAATGGTTTTAAGAGCGTCAACATTGTCAGAGAATTTTTGATGATCAAGAATGGGAAAAAACATGTGGTCATAATACTTACGATCCGTAGTAAAGCCATCCCACAAAGCCATAAACTCTGTTTTCATGTTAGTCATTGCTTCATGGTCTGTAGTGCGCCGCTGTCCCAGAAAACTGTCAACCTCATCAATAAAAATAATAGCTGGCTGGAGCTTATGAGCCAAACTGAATACAGCAGCCACTGTAAATGTTAAGGAAAAAAACAAAAAATAAGAACTAGTGCATCATTCTGTCATATCCAAGACATCAAACTAAATTATGCCAAGCCAAAGAAATAGAAACCAAATAAATGCTTAATTGCACTCTCCCACCACTTTGAAACCTAGAACTACAATTAACTTTGCATTGGGCAACAGAAAATTTTTAAGACATATATTCTCACAGACAAGCCAAGATTCTCATAGACAAGCCAAGATCAAAAACAAGGAAAAGATTTAAAAGTTCATCTAAGTGTCATCATCATCATCACCATCATCCGAGCTTTATCCTGAACTATTTAGTTTTAGATAAATTGACACATCCCAGAAGTGAGTTCAAAACATCTCAAGAAAAACCAAAGGTTATCAAGTTGAGATGGATCAGCATCGCAGAAAGTCGAAGTGTTGTCTGTGTAAAGAAGATGAGACATTGTCGGGCCAGAAATGGATGTTTTGAGACCTCGCAACAAACTCTTATCGAAAGTCTAGCGACAGATTTAGGGAAGAACTCACCATAGATAGAGAAAAGGAAAAGAGATAAAGGGTCCCCCTGTCTGAGACCTTTGGAAGTAGGAAAAACACCTATAGGGGAGCCGTTGATGACGATAGAGAGATAATGATTAGAAATGTAAGCTCTGATCCAAGACCCATGAGAGACTGAAGCTCATGTAAAAAAACCCAATTTACTCTATCATAATCCTTTTTCCCGGTCTAATTTGATGACTAACCCTGGGTCCCAGAGAAATACCTAGAGTGAATAGCTTCATGGGCGGAAACAGCCCCATCTAAAATTTGTCTATCAAGTGGGAATATTAAAGTGGTTTCTTATAAAAATTAAAGTGAATATTGTTCTCATCATCTTAGAGATCATCGGACGGATAAAGAGATCGAGTGCCAAACAACAAGTTCCTACTACCCCTTAGCAGAATTGCTAAGATGAAAAATCGACATTCATTGCAAGCTACACGATCCCTCTTGCTAGGGGATGAAAGTTCCAAAAATTGTATGGTCTAAAGCTATCCTTACTACTGCCTTCTTCATAAACAGTATGCCATCAAGGGTTCATGTGAGCAATTATCATATCCAGACTCCTTTCCAAGACACTCCAATGTTTCCCATACCTCAAATTTTGGTTGTGCATGTTTTGTTCACGTTTCTGTCCTAAGAGAGACAAACTTGCTGCTAATCCTCTCTTCAAGGGGAGAATAATAGGAAATAGGACATGAAGAGAGCAATTTCAGCACCCTTGACTAACCATTCATTTATGAAATTTCCAAATTGAAGATGGGAATGCCTCGAATGTATCCTGGTAGAAGGATTTGAAGATGTATGTTTGGAGAAGGAATTTAATAGAACCTAATGTCCAAAACGACCAGTTCCCAAATGCCAATTCAAAAACCAGGTACTAACCTTGACTCTAGTGATTCTTCCTATCCTATCCGTTCTCCAGAAAATTCCCACCGTAACACCTATTTCGACCTTTGACCATCCTATTTCCTAACACAGAGATAATCGTCCTGAACACTCTTGTAGCAACTTTGTTTCATATATTTCAATGTCACTGTCTTATCAAGCTTTCTTATCATCCTTGTTTAATGTCCGCATTCCATCCCATACCACATAGACAATATTACAACCTCATTCAAAGGTTGTGATGTGTGAGAACATGCAGGCTCTAATATACATATACATATGTAGACATATGTATGTACGTATGAATGTATACACTTGGGAACCCAACAAACTTCGTTGAGGAAAAAAATGTGGTACAATGGAAGCTGACATTGAAATACAAAGCAGATGGCCCTATCAAAAGGTACAAAGAGAGATTGGTTGCCAAAGTTTTTATATAGATTCATGGCATATACTACAAAAGATACCTCTAGCCAAGCTAAATGTGGTCGGCATTATTCTCCCCTTAATTGCTAAAAAATCTTGCTCTCTACATTTGCTAGACATAAAAAAATGTATTCTTAAATGGGGATCTTCATTAAGAAGTCTATATGACCATCCCTCCAGGTTTTCATATTTAGGGAGAGACAGGAAAGATGTGCAAATTAAAAAAAGGCAATATATTGACTAAAACATCGCTCAAAGCATGGATTGAAAAATTTGTTGAAGCCTTGTTGAAGATTCAGTTTAAAAGGAGTCAACCTGATCATACCAAGGTTTCAAAAAACGCTAGGCGGCCTGTCTGGCGCCCAACTCCCAACGCCTAGGCGGGCGCCCAGAACCTCAGGCGCCCCATAGTTTTAAAAAAACGAGAAACGCCTTACGTCCTTGGGCGCCCGCCTAGGTACATCCGCCCTGGGCTCCTGCCTGGGCGCCACCCTGCCCAGGTACATCAGCCCATGTAGGGCCACATGGGTCTAGGCGGGCAGATTTTTGGCCCAAGCCACCTAGGCACCAGGAGAACCGTTTTTTAAAACATTGGATCATACATTGTCTATGAGGAAAACCATGCAAGATTACAACACACATTGTATGTTGATCACATGGTAGCGATAGGGGATAGCTAAAGAAATAGAAGATCTCAAAGTGCTACCTAAGTAAATTGTTCGACCTAAAAGGCATGGGTCCACTCAGATATTTGTTGGGCATTGAAGTAGCAAAATCAACAAAGAAAATAGCTATCTCACAAATGAAGTATGCGTTGGGACTACTACAACAAACTTGAATGCTAGGAGCTAGACCAATGCATACTCCAACATAAGCAAATCATCGACTTCATGCACAGATGGGCCAGTTACGAAAGGACCCTAGTCAATATAAAATGTTTGTGGGCAAGCTTATACCTTATAATTAGACGACGACCAAACAGATCTTATGTGGTTAGCGTAGTTCATGTAACAACAATGAAAACCTCACTCGCATCCAAAGTATCTCAATTCGTTTCTGGGGTGAGGATAATTATTTACCGATCATGGTCATATGCATGTTGCAATCTACACCAATGAGAATTAGGCTGGGTGCCAAACTGGGCCAATCTATTCAAAGTATAAGTTGTGCGGACCAGTAAGAAGTGAGTACCTTTAGTCAGTCGGCCCACAATGACCCAAATACGATCATGCCTAGTACCTATTCTAGGCAAGCCAGAGACAAAGTCCATAGCGATGTGTTCCCATTTTCACTCTGGCACGAGCAAGGGTTGCAACAGTCTGACGAGTTTCTAATGTTCAGCTTTTACTTGCTGAGATGTCAAGCACTTAGAGACAAACGATGCCACTTCTTGGCTCATGGTACTTGTGAAATTATGTGGATTAGAACTACATTGGCTGATCTAGGAGTTGATGTTCAACCACCAAGGCACTGACTCTTCATTGTGATAATGAAGCAACCATTCACATTTCTGAAACTCTTGTACTCATGATAGAACAAAGCTTATTGAAGTCGATTGTTATTTCCAACTAGAATTATATTTATTACAAGAACTCAAAAAAAAAAATTGTGTTACTTATGTAAAATAAATTGTGTTACTCGAGTGAAATAAAGATATCAACTGGTAGATGTATTCACAAAAGCAGTTGCAAGATATTACTATCAAGCTATGAATGATTGATATCTATGCTCCAGCATGAGGGGGAGTGTTCAAAGTGTGATATCTAGCTAGTGGCATAAATGAAATACATTATTTAATAGGGTCATCATTCAGGTCCATTATTTAAATAGGGGTATAATTTGTACCATGTCGAAAATATATAAGTTGATTAGTCTAACACAATGGCTCTCATATCTTCTCTTCTATTCCTATTCTCTCTCTACCCTTCTCTTATTCTCTTCTCTATACAGATGATAAACTGAATAGATCTAGACCTTGACCTACATCTCTTTTTCCATTCTCAATCCATACCAAAGGAAATTCCCATATTGATATGAATTAGGCTAACAGGGAAGCCACCAAGGTTTCAAAAATGCTAGGCAGCCCCTAAGCAGCCTGCCTGGCACCCAGCGCCTAAGCGGGCGCCCAAAACCTCGGGTGCTCTGTGGTGCAAATTCTTGGCATTTTTTAATATCTTTTCTATCCAAATGCTCATATATGCATATATTTGTGTCAAATTTTGTAATTTATTCCATTTGAAAATATCGCAAATTCACAACATACATTTTTATAAACAAACATATCACATATCTCAGGTTGAGAATAAACTTATTCAAAATTTCAATCCATACAAAACATTTAAAAGTCTACTAGGCCATTGTATGGTCTCCAACTCTAATATTCTCCATATTCCATATCCATAAAATAAACCATAATAACATCCAAGTCTCCAACTCTCAAAGTCTTCAACAAACTGACTTCCAAAATATAAAAAACCAATAAACCACACAACAAATTAGTCCAAAAAGGCAAAAAAAGTATAAACCACATAACAAAATAAAAATAGTCCAAATGTCTAATGCCCAAACCAAGATGGTGCAATAAAGTTACTACAAAAGAAGAGAGGAGACGCCTTACTGGCCTGGGCGTCCGCCCAAAACTAAGCGTTGGGCACCAGCCCAGGTACAACCGCCTGTGTAAGGCCGCCTAGGTCGAGGCGTGCGGTTTATTTGTTCAGGCCGCCTAGGAGCCCGGCAGACCGTTTTTTGAAACCTTGGCAGCCACCTGCACCTAGAGACTCGACTACATTTCCAACCAAAGCTTCGATGGATGCAACTCCTTACAAGTCACTTTATAGCACTCATGGAGAGAATCTAACTCCCAGTTTGACTCCTCACCAAATAAGGGGCCTACATAACCAAACTATTCATTCATAGAACTGCCTCCTAAGGAGGAAATTTGCTAAAAGTTTTGTAGAAATCCACACTCATACTATTTGCTGACATTCCTGTACATTTTCATGACATCATAAAGTCGTACATTTTTGCCCAAATACAAGAGTTAATTACAAATTAATTTAAGAGAGTTAATTTGTAAAAGATATATATATTTTTTTAATTGAGTAAGAATGAGTACCTCCATCCACACAGACACAGACACACACACACAAAAAAAAGGGTGAGTTCAAGAGAACACACACACACACATATATGAGGTTAATGAGTACTCTTTCTGGTATGGGTGGCTAATTTTTCTCTTGTCCAAAGGTTTGACTCAATACATGCATCACAGATCTCCCACAAGTAACATCCCTGATTTAGATCACAACGTATCCTATAGATTAAATGCATTTGAGTGCCATGTTCCCAGCATAACATAAAAAACCTCAAAGACTCTCAAATCCCCAAACTATAGTTACGGTTTTCCAATCTAAACAAAAGAAACTGTTATTGTAACTGATATACCAAAAAGAAAGCCACTTACAAGCATTTAAATAATGTAACGGACTTACCAAGTTTTTGGGCATCACCAAACCATTTGCTCATCAAATTTGATATCCTCACATTTATAAAAACAGCCCCGGACTCTTTTGCTATGGCTTTTGCAAGCATTGTTTTTCCAGTCCCAGGGGGCCCATATAACAGGACTCCCTTCTGTGGACTAAGAAGCTTTCCACAGGCAAACAGTTCAGGCCTCCGTAGGGGAAGAATCACTAGTTCATATAGCGCTTGCTTAATATGCTCGAGACCTCCAATCGAGTCAAACTCTACATCAATGTGATCGGGATTGATAACATCACAGGCTATCACATCCTGTAAGATTATCGAAGAAATGGTATCAGAAACAAGTGTAGAATCACTAGGTCGATCTTTATGCAGCATTTAGGAAACACAAGGAAAATGGTTTAATAAGTAGAGAAGTACCACATTATCACAAAATTCATATAGAAATGCCTACCATAAATATCTACACACATTCCATGTACTAAAAAGGTCAGTGGTCAAGGATAACCAAGCGGGAACAGGCAGTGAGTTCAAAGCAGCCAGAAAAAATGACAATAAAATGAATGAAAACAAAATATTTTCATCTATTTCTTGATAATTTATGTAGTAATATTATTTGTACATTCATATGTCACACATTTATGCTACATTAGTGCTAAGATGGGACGTTGATGGTATTGTTATGAGAGCTATGCTAGTTAAGCTTAAAGGTTGCAAGTGACCTTGTATTTCTGCGTAATCCCAAACTCCTGATGTTTGGGAATGCAAGATAGTGCCTCTGCACATCTCAAACCCACTGGTTTACTCTCCCCTAAAGTTCTGAAACTGGAACATTTGGTCTCGAATTACTTCTACCTCAATTCCAAAAAAAATTGTATTGTATTGGACTTTAGATTTGATGTTTTACACCCAAAAAGTGCACTAAAATTTAAATGGATTGTTGGTAGTTCCCCCAACCCCTTTCCACCCCTAAAAGAACAAAATGCCCATGATGTTATCACCATCATCGTCAAAGCATTTTTTCCAACTAATTGGGGTCGGCTACACAAATCCTTGCCCACCATTCTACTCTAATAAGGGTCATACCCTCAGTGAGTCATGATGTGAGGACCATTTATACCCTTGGGTCCATCAAAGGCCAAGGTAGTCTAGGGGCCACCGATGGGTTTTAATGAACCACGAGTATTACCAAAAAGTACCAGAGATATCTCACATGAAGAATTACAAGGAACTCTAACAATAGGAGACCTTGCGCACACAACGCAAACATAGAAACCACTAAAGGATATTCTAACCCGACAAAGTTTGTGAACTAACCAATTTCACAATATACGGATTACACAACATATGAAAGGTCAAAATAAACCTCAATATCCAAACAATAGAACCATATAAAATAGGTATTGGACATTGACCAGAAATTATTGAAAAAGACAACCCCAGAATTAAGCACGAGCACCACGGGAACATTCACTTAAAAAAGATTTGAATTGTCTAATCGATTTTTTTTATTTTTTTGAGGGAATATTGGACAGTATGGACGAGTTAACCAGGCACCTACAACATGAGGTACCGTGGTATAAGTAGTTCGCGGATAACATAGTTTTGATTGATGAGACTAGAGGCAAGGTCAGCGCAAAGTTAGAATGTTGGAGGGATGCTCTAGAATCTACAAGTTTTAAAATTAGCCAGACTAAGACAAAATATATGGAATGCAAGTTTAGTAATAAGAGTAGAGACGACGTAGTTAAGATTGATGGTCAAAAAATATCTAAAAGAGATTGTTTCTAACATCTAGGGTTAATAATCCAGGAGAATTGGGAGATGGAGGAAGATGTCGTGCATAGAATTAGAGCTGCGTGAGCAAAAGTGGAGATGTGCATCCAGAGTTTTATGTGATTGCCACATACCATTTAAAAGGAGAAGCTCTATGGGACGATTGTAAGACCAAACATGCTCTATGGGATGGAATGTTAGACGGTCAAAACAACATATCCATAGGATGAGCGTAGCTGAGATGAGGACGTTGAGATGGATGAGTGGCAAGACAAGAACAAATAGAATTCGGAATGAATGCATAGGAGGGAACTTAGGTGTGGCTTTAGTAGGCGATAAGATGGGAGAAAGTAACTTAGGTAACTGGCCATGCACAACGTACACCTAATATACCACCGGTTAGGGGGTGCAATTTGGTTCAAGTGGAAGGCTTTAAAAAGACAAGGGGAAAGCCCAAAAGGACATGGATAGAAGTAGTGAGAAAAGATATGATGACTTTTGGCCTTACTAAAGGATTAGCCCTTGATAGAGAAGAATGGAGGAACATGATTCATGCAGCCAACCCCAAATAATAGGGATAAGCCTTGGATGATAATGATTATGATGAGTATTTGACTATCTGATAAATTCAAAAGACATATTCATAATTAATTTCAAATGTACATCTGTGCTTCACAAGAAAAATCGAAACTGCAAAGACAGCAAGCAGCATTTATATGGATCATTAAATGGGATTTTTACAATTCTTTTAACATGTTTGTGTGGAACGCTTTTGCAACATGTACATCCCTGTCAGACTCTCTCTACCCCCTTCCATTTCTCTCCTACTTCTATTCTCCCTCTCTCCTTCACCTCTCCTTTCTCTCTCGCACCGTTCTACATACTCGATTTCCCTTTTACTTTTTTCCTTCTTAGTAGCCCCTTCAATCTCTCTTGCCTTTATACTAGATTTTGTACAGCAGCCACTCCACTGGCTGCCATTTTTTGGGATGTGATAGACTAGAATTTCTTTGTAAGGGATAATGCAAATTCCCATTTGTTTTTTTCTTTATATAACCCCCGAACATTGGGTAGCCTTCTCAAAATATATGTATTACTTCTACTACTTAAAACAGTTAAATGTCCCTGTCCCATTTTGAAACCCGCTAGAATAAGAAACACTGCATGTGCAAAAACAGAGTTATCCAAAGAAAGAAAAGAACTGTTGTAACATGAATACTCCTAGGGCAGCAGTCCAAAACTTGCAATTAAGGTTTTTTTTCTCATTTCTCATACTTTAAAAAGAATAGAAGCAAAAAATAAGGCCTTCGAAGGCAATTAAGATTAGTAGTTATGCATAGTGCAAATATTTCAAGCCACACTAGGACTACAAAATACAGCCACATCAACTCTGAGATATCCTCGTTATGAACATTTCACTGCAGAAGAAAAGCATCTCATTTACTTTCAATAATATCCTGAAATTTTGTTACTGAAAGAACTAATAGAAATTACTATAAATACCTAGAAGCTATTTTCATCGCATTATACCAGTACTAATGCCATGTACCAGTATGAACTCTTCAGAAACATCTCCAAACACATGCACAAAAGATGTTTCTAGCACTACTAGAAGATTTTAAGTTTACAACTAGAAAGCGTGGTTAGTACCACTAAATACCATTTGAGTACCTAACCGCCTTTCCACTTACTCAACCCACTAGCTATCCTCCCCCCCACCCCCCAACAACAACAAAAATAAAAAAGACAACAACAGCAACAGCATTAATAGCAATAATAATCTATTGCACATATACTAAGCCTCAGACAAGGCTATCACACGTGCGTTAAATAAGAAATACACCTTGTTAGGAGAGGGGCATGGTGTAGGCGACCTAGAATGTGAGAAATTAAAATAGGGCAGTTCAGAAAATTTTTGGTAGGTCTTACAAGGCATCTCTCTCTCTTCTCTCTCTCTCTCTCTCTCTCTCTCTCTCTGTGTAGCAACTCAAATCTTCTCCACCAATTTTTTAGAAACTGAACCCCTTGGGCAGGGTAATAAGGTCATTTTGACCTTCAAAAATGGGGGGTATTAAACCCTGCAAACATCATTTTTCAGCCACATCTGTGGCTTTTATTGAATCGATTGAATAAAAAAAAAAAAATTGGGTGGAAATGATGATGATTGTAAATTTAGAATTTTGGGTGGAAATGATGATGATTGTAAATTTAGAATTTTCATGATGATAATTGAAATTTAGAATCTCACTTACAAGACTTGAGAAATGATGATGATTGTATTGAGTCTTCTTGAGCTTGACTTTTAAACTCTTTAATCTTCATGGACTTTTAGTTTGTAGTGTTTTGTAACTTTAAAGTTTGTGGTTGCAGATTTGTGCTTATGGTAGATGATTGTTGAATGTTTTATGAAGCTAGTTTCAAGTTTCTAGTTTCTATCGGGGGATAGTGGATACAGAATCTCCGACAACTGAAACTTTGGAGTTAATGAATAGCCTAAATACCTATTATCACATATATCAACTCCATATTTTTCTATGCATTAACCTATTTTTTAGATTTTTTTAGAATTTTTTTATATTTATTGACCACATTGCGGTGATGCACCCACATCCGGACCGCATCGAGATGCATCGCCCCCCCCCCCCCCCCCCCTCCCCCAACCGATTTTGGCCGCATCCTGCATTTTAAAACATTGGCACCTATACCCCACACCTATTAAAATGCTGCCGCATCACCACATAAGCAATCGCATCATGCAAGATGCGTTAGCAACCGCATCACAAAACAGTGCATACACGCTTTGATGGGATGTGCCTGCATATCTGCAACATCCCACTGCATATGCGGCCACATAACGCATGACATCGGAAATGCACCCCACTGCAAGACAAAATGAACTCCTTGAAAAGGGGTATTTTGGTCATTTGTCCGCAAAAGGGGAGGAAAGGGTTTGGGGGGTATTAAACCCCCCAAAACAGCAAAACCAGCCACGTTCGTGCCTTCTCTTTTCATCTAATTGATCAAAAAAAGTGGCGGAAATGTTTTTGGTCCAAAATCTTTCAATGTCATCTTGGTGGATCTTTGCTTGTTGATTGGGATTAGTTTGGGTGTTGATTTGAGGAAGTTTGAGCGAAGATTTGACAACCGACCACAATTAGTTGGGGAAAAGGCTTTGACAATGATGAGCAGAGATTTGACAACAGATCGAGGGGTTTCAAGGGCCGAAAAGATATCGATATTTTCTTCAATTAATCGATAAGTTTACAATAATAATTTTTTTTTGGGGCAATGTGTTCTTCACAATCTTCTAGTAACAAGGATCAAGCTTGGATATAAGCAAAACTCAAAAGTCCAAAACACTAAAATTGTGTTATTTGTACTCTTTGTGAAAATACTTATATGTGGGGTATTTTTCGACAAAAATAACACTTAGCCGGTATTTTTGGGAATGATAGAACATACCCACAAGCGACCGAAGAAATTAAAAAGGAGATTAGAGAATACATGGACAGCTTGCAAAACAAAAAGAACAT